AATTTTCACTGTCCCTTTTTTTTAATCAAAATGATCGTCGTAATATTTGGTCGTCATAGTCTCGCTAATCACTCTCCTCCATCGAACTTATACAGCAATTAAAACGTATCAACCTTTACTAAATCTTATTGGATCAATGATTGGACAATCCTTGCCACTCTGTAAATACAGATGATGCTACACAACACCTATATGGTTAACGATGATTATTATCATCCTTATAGAAGTAAGGATAGAGGCAATCCTTGCCACCCTCACACGAGTAAGAGCATAATCGACATTATATAATGCCTTTTAGATTAGTGATGATAATGAGAGTTAAGGGTTCAATTAGGTTTGATAGGAGACCATACAATCTCTTTGTACCCTTTTTTTATCACGGTCTTTTTATATATTATCATTATCGTCAATCATAGGTGAGGAAAAAGATGACCTACCATTAGGGAATAAGAGATGACTTCTAGGTAAATATGCAGGCTAAAGGGGGTTGTTGATAGGGTGGAGGCACAATTTAGATCGGGGTAGAATTTTTTTAAGATTGACAATGGTAAAATTTTCTTTTTAGCTGATCAAAGACACTATATTTATATGTGTGTGTGTGGCATTACAAATCTCCAACTCATTCAACGGAATAAAAGCTGACGACGCTATTTCGTGAAGAGAGAGAAAGAGAGGAGAGCTTAGAGAGAGTGGCACTGTTGAGCTGAGAGTAAAAGCTTTGGTCGGAGGGAGGAGAAGCAGCGAGGCTTCACCGTCCTGTGCCCACAAACAGTATATGGATTTATGCTTAACCCATTATTTTACTCTCCCGTTTTGATTCTATGAGAGAGAGAGAGAGAGAGAGAGAGAGAGAGTTGATCGATAGGTGATCTTCTTCAACACCTTTTGGATATAGTTTCTTGTAGTATTTTGATCGAGGCACGAGAAGAGAAAGAGAGAGAAAGGCGCAGGGACAAAAAACCAACAAACAAAGGTTAAAGTCACCAATCAATTGATCCATGATGGTTCTTATTGTGGCCATCAAACCAAGAAGGATAACATGTTCATTTATGTGCTCTTTTAACAGATATTACATTAAGTAGATGGCTTCTATAATTTGATTTTATTTCAGGCAAGCAATTATATAACAAAAAACAAATATGAATAATGTATGTGGCAGGTTTTGTTAGCTTGCAGCTCAATATACTGTAGTCATCTAACTTGATTAAAAGTTTTTATCCTGAAAGATAAAAAGGATTCTATAATTTTATCCTTTGAAGTACAATTATGCTGATCAAATTGATATCATTGAAAATTAATAACCCATGATGAGGGCTATAAAAGATTATGCCTCCATCTCATATTACCATCTTATTTATATATGAAACTCATATGAGTGAATAAAGTTACTTATGATTTATCGATTCTCGAGTTTGAGATATGATCACCGAATGTATGCTTAGTTTTTGGGTTTGGGATAGTTACAAATATAAATATGGATACTCGAGTTGAATCCATGATATTATTAACATCGAATTTGATCGATAATTTGATATGCTATAATTAATTTAAATTTATTTATTTTTTAAGTCTCATTGTACTTAGAATTAGATTTATAATCATGATATGATATAAAAACTCTAACTTGGCATATTATAAATTTTAGATGAATCAAATATTGGCACATTAACTAGTTTAGTTGATAAAGAACTTGATAGATTATCATAAGATCTTAGACTCGAATATCATCTTTAACATCTCTTATTTACATACAAATAAAAAAAGCTCAAACTTCACCTAAATAAGTTAAAAATATTTTCTAAGATTTATAGTCACATGGAACTCAACAGTCTATCATATTCATGAAATAAAATATCTATTAATGAGGGAAAAAAATATAAACATCTCGTTAGGTTTGAGATGAGCTCGTATATTAAAGTTTGGGCCGGCTATGGTGACATTAATGAGCCATCCATGCACATGCGCATGCACATGCACATGCTCATGCTGATGGCTGGTCCCCCAAAGCCAAGGTACTCACCGTCGCGTCAGCCCATCTTCCATCAATCCAATTCCATCTGGTCCCTCCAATCCCAATCAGAAGGTCCATAGAAATTGCAAGCTGGTCCTCATTTCTATTTACCAAATCAATTATCTCTCTCTTCGAAATGCCTTCCGTCTCCTCTGCCTTATCCTCCGGCTTGCGTCATCGTCATGCCATAATAAAAGATCGTAGTGCATCACACACACACACACACATCTGAATCCGTGTATAGCACGCACACGCTACCCCAGATGGATCCCGTCGTTGGCCTCAGACACGAAACAGCAGCTCGACTGGTGGACCCCACCTGATTCAACTTCGCGATAATCCAATCGAATTAATGTCGCGTATGACAGAGGATTTGGGTTAATTTATGACGTGTAATTTTTAGAAAACAGGTAGTATTATTACGGCATCTTTTTTTCGGATACCTCGGAATATCTCCGATATCTTACCCGTGAACGGTAGTAAATAGCCATCACGTTTGCTTTCTTTAACCAACAACGCGTTCGCTACCCGCCTGACTTGGCTTCTTGTGATTGGAGGTGGGCCCCTATTCCCGGACGTGATTGCGTCCGGTTACAAAACAGGTAGACGAGACTTAGGGGTGTCGGGAAACGATCTTTTGGTCGTGTTTATCCGTGGCGGGATTTTATGTCTTCGAATCACCGCATCGGAGACAGCCACGTGGCGGAAGGTGCACGCAAGCTTGCGGGCGCGAAGCCTCGCCTTTCCGCAAGCTTAACGTGACATCACCTAAATGACTAGAATGCCCCGTGGGATTGGGGTAAGTACCGGGGTTTCCGGGGAGTAGGGTGGGGACACCTCCCTGTTGCGGCGACTGCCATCATGGCGATTGCATGAAAATAGAGGGGGAGGACTAGGGCGGTTTGGTCAATAAGTAATAGCAACGCTGTCCTGTGATAGGTAATCTTGAGCGTCCGTTGTACACGTGATCGTTCAGTGGACGGTCCTGATGGTTCGTTCGATGGAGGCGTCCATGGGACGCCGAAAGAATCGGTGGGACACCGTGGCATATCTTCCGTGTGAGACGATAACGGCGCAGCATCGCCGTCTCGTCTCCGTCTGTCTCTGTCTCTCATTTTTTCTTATCCCCACCAACTCCAAATTCCGCCGAACCCCTCGCCACCGCGGTCCGGTCCTCCGCCCTCTCTCCCTACCGCCTCAATCTCCGCCTCGCCCTGCTCTGTCTCGTTAACCCTACATTAGCGAAGCCTTTCCTCGTGTTATTTTTTTTCTCCTCTTCCTCGGGTTTCTCTTTGACGACTCCTTCCTCCGTCGCCGGCGGAGGCAGCGGCGGATCGCCGCCGACACCGGCGCCTGCTTCCGGAAACCGCCGAGAGCTCGGCGTGCTCGGGATCGGCGAGCCAAATTCTTAACAAGGCGACACAGAGGAGAAGGAGAGGGGAGGGAGGGAGTGAGCCTGGGGTAAAATAATATTCGAATGCGGCGGTGGTGAGACGGAGCTCTCGTTTTGCTTGCATTGGAGGGGAAAGGGTGGAGGTTGGGGAAAGTTAGGGGCATCCATGGGTGGGGGTTGGACGCTCGCGCACGGCACGGATTCCGAGGGGATCCCTTCGCGGAATTCTCTTCCTTCTTCGATGGCCACCTCCTCCTCCTCCTTCTTGCCTTATGGCGTAATCCATTCCTTCGCGGGTTGCTTCTTTTAAATTACGGCCCGCTCCAGCTCATCTTGTGCCTTCTCCGCAGGCTGTCGGTGAACGGGAGGGGGAAAGGACGTCGATCCGGTGAGGTTTCCTTGACTTAGCCATGTATTTTCGTACCTTCTTCTGGGTTTTGGTCGGAATTCTGGTGTTAATCTACGATTTGGTTGTGATCGCTGTGGAAACGTTGGATGTTGAGGTCAGGGATGGGATCCAGGCTTGATTTCGGTCTACTTGAATTCTACCGGATCTTTCTTAATTACCGATGATCTCCTATTCTTTTTCACGTTTCGGGCTTAGTTCTTACAGTTTGGTTTCTCAGTGATCTCGTGACCGAATATATTATTTTGAATTTTATCACTACTATTATCGTCTTCTTTTTTGCTTTCAGATCTTTTCAGCGCCAAAAAACTTAAAAAAACAAAGTTTGACCCTTCTTTCTTCGATTCTCGAGTACAACTTTTATTTCTTAAAAATGTCTGTAGAAATAGCAGAAGAATTTGAGTCATGATAATTTCCCCTTTTTGTTTTCCTCTCTTCTTTACATTTGGTTTCTCTTTAAAGCCTTCATTACCCAATGGTCGCTTGATCTTGTTTTGTCTTTGCGCAGCGGAGGAGAGTTTCCTTTGACTGAGGGTAGCTAGCGTCATTGGAAGTTAGTTGCTGGAGTAAAGTTTAGTCTTTGTTCGGGTGCTGCAAGATGCCGACCAGAATAATGGATCAGAGTCGCCTGTCCCCATTCGTCCGGAATTCGGAGGCCTCTTCCTTCTTCTCCGAGGAGCTACGCTTTCCTACGGAGGTAAGATTTTTAGCTTTCCAGGGTGTCGATGGACCTCGCTCTTTGAGAAAAGAAGTTCGTTTTTTATCAGTCACTGTACTCTCTTATTCTCTATTTTGTTAAATTCTTGGTTCTTGTTGTCAATAAGCTCTTTTTGGAAGTGATGCTGATGGCACCTCCTACCTTTTGCTCTCAGTATTTTTCATCTGAAAGAACATTATTCTCAGGCGAAACCAAAATAATATCTAATGCATGTCTTTTTGCTAATCTTTTCTTGATTACAGAGGCAAGTTGGATTTTGGAAACCTGAGTCAGTGCCTGATCACGATGGTGAGCATAACATTTTGGTGGAGCCTGGGATTTTTTTGTTTGATATTACTACCATTCTTTGCTTTTGTCAAACTTGGAGTTTTTATGTGACCCTATGCAACGAACCTCCAAACATTCTTAATTTGTTGGGCTCAATGTACATTTTGGAAAGTTGTTATTACATTTCTACAAAGATAATTCTTAAAGTGAGCAGGGACTTATTTATGTTGATGGAGAATGTATCCACCTGTAAGAAGCTAAATCCTGCATAGTTCATTGATCGCCAATGGTTTTAGTCCGCTTTTGCTCCTTTTCTTCAGTTAAACAAAAGTTCAACTGTGAGCTGCTAATGGGAATTTGAACTGTTGGGTCCGTTTAGACTGGGTATTCTACTCATCTGGGTTGGTTAGAATTAGATGATAAACCATAATTGTAACTTAGTAAGCTTTCATAATAGAAAAACTTTATTGAAAGGCATTTGCATGAAATCAGCAGGCTGAGTTGGTAATTCATAAGTTCAAGAACATTGTCTGTGTGTTGCTAGGTTGTTCCTGAATTCTGTTCAATCTTAATGGAGGAATATATTTGCTCCCCTTTGTCATCTTGGGCAGTCAAGGGCTTTAGTGTGTTGGTGTTTATCCTCTGCAGGAGTGCAGGAATTGACGTTGGTGTCAAGAAATCAGTCAGTTTCTTCTTCTCCACTTAATAAGTTTCATATGCCGGGAGCAGACTCTGCGGAAGGTCCGGGACAGTGGGAGTCCCACATGGTCAAGGAGCAGAAAGATAAGTTTAATCTTGAACATCAGCTGGAGCCAGAGACGATAACTGGCATGTCAACAACTTTGTGGAAGGCCGATGACCATGATTCTACTTTCCGATCTGATCTGTTAAGTCAATCTGCTTCTTCAATTATGGAATCAAAAGATCAAAGTGGATGCCTTTATGAGAATGGTCTTTTCTCAAGCTCTTTATCAGATATATTTGCAAAAAAATGTATGTTTTCTTCTTTCACTCTTATGTTTCATAAACTATTCTTTTCTAAGAGGACTAATTTCTCATAGATTCTTGACATTGCACTTCACATATGACTGTTTGCTCTTACAGACTTTTTGCTTGCTTATCGTACTCAAAAAGTTAACTTTCTTATCATTTTGATGGGGCAGTGAGATTGTCATCAAGTAACGTTGCTTTCTGTACGTCTGTCGATGAAAATCACTTTAACTTAGGGGAAGATGAGCCTTTTGAATCAATGGAGGAAATTGAAGCTCAGACAATTGGAAATCTTCTCCCTGATGATGATGACTTGCTATCTGGTGTTATTGATGATCTTGGATTTGTTGCTCGACCAAATAGTGGAGATGAAATTGATGATGACATATTCTACAGTGGGGGAGGTATGGAACTGGAGCCTGATGATGATACTAATGTGAGCAAAGGTCTAGAATTTGTTGGTGGAGGAGCATCTAATGGTCAGCAAGTGGGACCGAATGGCACAATTGCCGGTGAACACCCTTTTGGTGAACATCCTTCAAGAACGCTTTTTGTTAGAAACATTAATAGCAATGTTGAGGATGCTGAGTTAAGGGTCCTTTTTGAGGTACTTAAACCTTATGATTTTTATTTTGATGTTGACAATTGTTTTATTTTTGTTGGGCAAAACCTTTAAGCAGCTCTAAGTATTTGATGAATATGTGCAGTCATGAATCTAGCAAGTCCTGATTGTATTCTTCTGGAAATGTGCAGCAATATGGTGACATAAGGACAATTTATACTGCCTGCAAACATCGAGGTTTTGTTATGATATCTTACTATGACATAAGAGCGGCACGAAATGCAATGAAAGCACTTCAAAACAAGCCATTGAGGCGTCGGAAGCTGGATATCCACTTTTCAATTCCAAAGGTAATCATGCACTATTTAGTTTGTTATTGTTGTAGTGGTAGCAGTATTGATTGAGAGTAATATAAATAAAGCAATTGGTTTGTTGCTTGTTTAAGCAAATTGTCTCTTGAGTAATATAAATTGGATACCTCTTAGGCGGATTCAATTTAACTATCGGAAGAAACTTTTTCTGAATACTTGGAAGTAATGGGGATGTGTCACAAGGCACGCAAGTAGGTGTTGTCAATTTCAACGTGTTTTAGAAGCAATATAGAAATTAGTAAAGAATGTTACAGAATGATAGTTGCTCCACCACAATCTTCTTCAAGCCCAGTTGATTATAAGTTCTGACATATCCGGAAAGAATTAGGAGAACCCTGAATATACTATGGCCAACAATATTGGTAGCAGATGATGACAATGACAGTTTTGATATCTGCTGCTTTCAAATTGGTAAAATTTGAGCTTAACTTTATGCATTTATTTGTTAATTTAATAATCGACTTTGATGGATGCCTCCCATGTGACTGCTCATGAAGAATATATGCATACCTGTTCTTAATATGAGCATTTTCTTTTCTGGCTTACATGGACAAATGCACAATGCATTTATTTGGATACTTACATGTTCATCTGCTATTCTTCGAAAGTTGTTCAGAAGCAGTGACTTGTCTATCCTATCTTACTGAAGCTTTGTTCCATATTTGTTAGAATAATTATTCATTCATATCAACTGTCTACAACATGTCTATGGACTTGATATTCTTGTTTATTTGTTCACAATTCTGTTTATTAGGACAATCCATCAGAGAAAGACATAAACCAGGGGACACTTGTGGTATTCAACCTTGATTTGTCTGTTTCAAATGATGATCTTCGTCAGATTTTTGGCCCTTATGGTGAAATCAAAGAGGTGACAGTTTTATGCTTCTTTCATGTATTTTTAATGTTATACTGAAATATATTGATGCTAAACATGAGTTTTAACTCCCAGATACGTGAGACTCCTCATAGGCGCCATCATAAATTTATTGAGTTCTATGATGTTAGAGCTGCCGAAGCTGCTCTTCGTGCTTTAAACAGGAGCGATATTGCAGGCAAGAAAATTAAGCTTGAGCCTAGCCGTCCTGGAGGTGCAAGACGGTGGGTACTATCCAAGCAAACTCATTTTTCTAATCTTTTCATATACAATCCTCTAGCAGCTTAAAGCAATAGTCTCATCAAGTTCTGTGACAAATATATTTATAATGTGGTATATATATTTTCTTCTTGAGCTTAAAGCTATATCTGTTTAGTTTGTGTGAGTTTTGTGTGCAGAATAAACAAAATTGGTTTGTAAGAGAGCCTAACATCCAGAAAAAAAAAAATATATATATATATTTGTCACATTGGGTCCATATAACTGCTAGCTGAATCAGATTTACTGTAGATATGTTATCATTAGAAGATACTGATAAGAATTTTGATTGTATACTGTCATTTATTTGCTACACCAAATGCAAATAATAAAAAAATGAAGGCCTTGGTCTTTATATTTCAGTTGGTACTATACCCTTTTTAACGAATGAAGTAATATTCATGGTTTCATGTTTGGATTTGAGCTAAGGTTTTGACACCATGCCATCAACTTCTTTAACTTTGATATTCTTTGTGTGATTGAAAAAAAAGGATAAATCTGCATGGTTTTGGTACTACGTTGCAGCTTAACGGAATTAATCTGCCAAGCTGTTAGATGAGTTATCTACTTATATGATCATGGATGAGAAGCCTGAGATGGAAAAAGATGCAAATGTCCAGAGTCATCATCTGCTTCAGGATTTCCATGCAGACTGTTATCATCAGTGGTAACTCTGCTTCATGGGCTTTTCTTTGGTTTAGCTTGTGTGGTTATGGCAGCTCTGCAAGCCATATATCAGAGCTTAGCATATAATATATTTGGTTATTAAAGAAAATAATTGTCTCATTGCAATGAAATCACAACTTCAGTAATCCGTAACAAATCATCCCTGATTTTGAATTCTTAGAACTCAAATTTCTTTTTGAACTTGCGTTCCACACAAGTCTGTTCACCTGGAAGTCAAGTTCCTGGAACTTAAGATCCCCAGTTAGTTCCTGTGGAATAAGTTGTGGTGGACCTTGGCATGATTTAATTTGATAAGTTCAGTGTTTGAATTTGATCTTGTTGAAGTTGAGTTGATCATATTGATCAGAATAGGTGTATCCAATATACTCAGTCAAGACGGATCATGCAAGAATTTAGTTTTAGTTGGTCTTCATTGTACTAGATGAATTTAACTGAAAGTAAATTGGGTTGGTCCAACAAACCGCATCAGTACATTAAGTTTTTTGGCAAAAACTAAGAACACATCCCTAATGCTTGTTTATATGCATAAATATGTTGAAGTCATATGTGTTTTCCTTTTATGCTTCTGTATTGGTTGTCTTTCATCTTTTATTAGTTCTTTTTATGTTTACCTAGGTAAATTTTGTTTTCCTTTATGGATTATCCATGGGTGACATATTTTTTGAACCAGCAGCTTGATGCAGCAGTTTTCTCCTGAGTTGGAGCTGGAAGAATCAAATGGATGGAAGCACAGCCCCAGTCACTCTCCATCTGGATGTTTTGGTACTCTTCTTTGTGCCTTTTCTTATTTCAGATAACCATGATATTTTCTTTGCATTTCTCGGGTCATCTTATGCCTATGGCTTGCATTGCCTGAACAAGTGTCTTCTTTTTTCCCCTTTTTTTTAAGGATCTGCCTCTCTTGGAGCAATTACACCCAATGGCCTTGAAAATGGAGGAATCCAGAGCATACATGCAGCTGTCTGTACAACAAATAACCCATTTATGGAGACCCCACACCATGGAATCTCTTCCAGTGTGCCTCAGAATTTATCATCTGCTGTGAGAGTTGCATCGGTAGGAAGTCACAGTAATCAAGCTGCCCATGCTGATCTTAGCCATTCTCTAAACCAGATGAATTTTGGATTCCAAGGCATGCCTAGTTTCCATCCTCAATCACTTCCAGATTTTCAAAATGGAGTCACGAGTGGCCTTCCTTACAAATCATCAAACCCAGTATCAGCTATGGGTACCAAAATCAACTCCAGACCTGCTGAAGGAACAGATAACAGGCATCTTCACAAAGTAGGCTCTGGTAGCTTTAACAGCCATTATTTTGACAACAGCGAAGGTTGTAAGTGCGATAGAACAATTTTTTTTTTTCTTAATGCAGTTATTCTTTCTCAATTGCAAATGTGAATTTTGTATAGGAGTGCTGTTGGCTTTAGTTAGCAGTGATTTAGGTGTAAAATGACATTTAATCTGGTAGTGTTCTGATAGTAGCAAGCTATTAAATTGTTGAATTTTATGTTTGTGATTTCTTTCCTAAACTTAGGTTTTTCATGATCTATTTCCTTTTACCTTTTCCTTGGTCTTTCTAACACATGACCTGCTTACAGCTATTGGTGTTCCTGGAAATGGAAGCTGCCCTCTTCATGGACATTCATATATATGGAATAATTCAAATTCATTCCACCAGGAGCCTCCTAGCCACATGTTGTGGTCAAGTTTGTCGTCATTCATGAACAATATTCCTGCTCATGCTCCATCTCAGATGAATGGACTTTCAAGAGCACCATCTCATATGCTGAATACAGTTCTACCTCTACACCATGTTGGTTCAGCACCTCAAGTCAATCCATCACTTTGGGACAGGCGACATGGCTATGCTGGTGATTTTACAGATCCACATGCTTTTCATCCAGGATCTGTTGGAAGCATGAGCTTTTCCGACAGCCCTCAGTTGCACCCACTAGAACTTGCTTCTCGTGGCATCTTCCCTCGTGCTAGTGGAAACTGTATAGGCCCTTCTGTTTCTCCTGCACATGTTGGGATTCCTTCACCTCAGCAAAGGTGCCAGATATTCAATGGTAGGAACCCTATTATTACCATGCCTGGTGCACTCGATGGTCCTAATGATCGGATGAAGAGCCGAAGAAATGATGCAAATTCTGGTCAGGCTGATAACAAAAAGCTGTATGAACTTGATATTGAACGCATTATACGTGGGGAAGACTCTCGTACAACACTTATGATTAAAAACATCCCTAACAAGTAAGTTTGTTAGACCTAAAGACTTATAATTCCTACCAAAGCAGTCCTTATTACCAATATGAATACAAAGTGAACAAATTTAACCTGGTTTACAGGTACACGTCAAAGATGCTGCTGGCTGCAATTGATGAAAATCATCGAGGAACTTATGATTTCATCTATTTGCCCATTGATTTTAAGGTAATCGCACGACCCCTTGTAAATTGTCACTCTTGTGGATTTTCACTCCTCTTATTGGTTCACTTAATTGGATGTGTTCTTCTTCTCTTTTCTCAGAACAAGTGTAATGTCGGCTACGCATTTATAAACATGACCAAACCTCAGCATATCATTCCATTCTATCAGGTTGGTCGATCACCTCAGATAAATTTTAATGTAGAGAACTATCTGTTGAATCTCATGTTTCTGGTGCTTCCTATTGGATACCAGTGCATTCTTGACATATATTTTTTATTTTTTCTGATATTTATTGTTTACTGATGTCAGTGTTAGTTTAGATTTATTGTAACACTATCAATTCAGTTTCTTTTTATTCCATGATAAAGATGCTAAAGATAGGAAGTGTGATTCTCTGCAGTCATTTAATGGCAAGAAATGGGAGAAATTTAACAGTGAAAAAGTTGCTTCGCTTGCATATGCTAGAATCCAGGGGAAAGCTGCTCTTATCGCACATTTCCAGAATTCTAGTCTGATGAATGAAGATAAACGCTGCCGTCCTATCCTTTTCCATTCAGATGGACCGAATGCAGGGGATCAGGTACGACGAGATCAAGTCTTTTATTTTCCTTTTCATTAAGTTCAGTTTTTCATGGTGATTTATCATGTATGTTTCCAAGAAAGCTTCAAGTTTGGTATAGTTGCCTTGAGCTTCAAAGTATCCTGAAATTTTTTTCGTTATTCATATTTCTGCAAAATTTTGTTTCTCACCTAGCTCAAGTGCTATCATGATTGATGTTCTTCCGACTTTAGTTGATAATGCATGTGGATCATCAGTATTCAGTACCACCTCTTGACCATGTTGCTTATAGCAAGTGATCTTCAGTTTATATGGTCATCTAAGAATTGCATGTTATACTTGTTTGAATTAACCATTGATTGCAAAGTGCTCAACTTGGTTCACAAGCCATGAAAAGACCAAGTGGGTTCTCTGTGGCTACCTAGTAAATCATACTATAAACATGTACCAAGCAGCCTAGCCACAGTAACAAGTAAATTCTTGTTCCATGTTTTGTATATCAGGGTTTCATCCAAATGTAATGATTCAAGATTCTTTACTTGATATAGTCATGACATTTATGGATTGTTTCTTCACTATTGCATCATTGGATCTCTACACTGATCATTCTGGTTTCTGCATTATTGTGAACTAGAATCTTTTGCTGGGTCATTTTCTTGGGACAGGATTTTTGTTTGAGTACTTAACATATTTACTGGATCTTCTTTGACAGGAGCCCTTTCCTATGGGGGTTAACATCAGGTCCAGGTCTGGCAGATCAAGGATTGTGAGTGGCAGCGAAGAGAACCACCAAGGAAGTCCATCCACTTCTGCAAATGTAGAAGCTTCTCGCGATGCAGCTGGCTCTCCTCCAGGTTCTATAAAGGACTTGGAGTGACCCATACTACTTATCCTGGTGCACTAACTATGAGGAGCAGACACATAACACAACCTCATCTTCTGCTCCCCTTCCTTACTTTTCTTCATACTGCTGATAAATAGAGAGTCTGCAACCATTACTTTGATTTCCAGCCCCTAGTTTTGCGTCTGTGTCACTGAGTGAGGGTGCTTCTTAGTTTTCCTGGATCATGTAAGCAGTAACTGAAGTCGCAAAGGTCAACTGCGCAGGGAGAACTTTAAGATTTTGGATGGCCGCGAGAGGAGCAAACAATGTACAGAAGCTCCAGAGTGACAGGATAACATGACTTTGTGCGATGCGGTTCGAGAAGGTCTTCTCTGCGTTTCATCTCCTGGCCTTTTTTCTTCCTCTGGTTTTCTTGTGCTTGTCCGCGTTTGGAGACACCCTCTTTTGGTTTGGGTTCTGTTCTGTTATTTTTGAAGCTGGGCTGGTCGAATGATTCACGGGAGCTCTGCCTGTCATGATATCGAGTCTGTATGCCTGCTATAAACAACCGTGTGGCATGAATTTTGAAGTGATCTGATCTTTGTTGTCTATTACAATTGCTTCTGAGACTCCGTTTTCTTCTGAGTGTTTGTTTATAATGCTTGTGGTTGATGAACTGGACGTAATGATTTCTTCGCATTGATTTGAGATGACCATATAACCTTCTGTCAAGATCTCCAGGGTTACTGTGAAAGAGATCGTAGTATAAAATTATAAATTAGGTCCAAACATTGAATACATGACTTGCAGAAACATCTTTATGAGTACTGTAATTGAGAGCATATTCTTTAATATAACACAAGATGTCACAATATTCTTCAATATTTTCATTTCAGATGTCCCGTGCCCCTAATTAGGAAACACTGACTATATCAACGGAACAAGAAAATATCGCCGATTTGGTCTCTGCAGCCGAATGCTTTGCAGCTCCAAATGGCGGCCAATAAAAATTTTCAGAAGCTGTTATCACAAAAAGCTTCAATAGAAAGATCATGCTCAAGATCGTTAAATACGATGGTGAATCATCAGACTCAGCATACTTAATTCCCCTGGCATGACCAAATGGGCTAGAAATCCCGAGACATCTATAAGCGATTAACAGGTTGGTCATCGCCTCCATTTTTATTTGATGTAGCTAGCAACATGGGGTTGCATTTGGGGAATAATAGCTTTAGGCGAAAAGCATCGACGCCATTCAAATAGTATCTGAACAGCCTTTTCGCCCTAATAAACCCTAGGCGGCCATATAATGCAAGGGCTCCCTTGTTTGTCACTTCAGCTTCCAGTGTTACCTGCACATGATCGCACATTATTCACATGTCAGCCTGATGATCCTCCCCGGTGCAGAAAACACAGCTTAGTATAAAGATTAATTCATCCACTTCCGCCAGAAGTAGAAATACATCAGAATATTGATTTTTACACAACAAGAATTGAAAAGATTAAAAGTCATAAACTAGAGCAGAAAGTACATTAAAGCAAGTTTTGGGCCATAATAACAATAACAGCATACCTTATTCGATCTATTACTTTACAGAGAATAGCTTCTAGAAGCAAAAATCTGAAAATTGTGCTGCAGCTGATGTGCAGCATTCATCTATTTAAACAATTTTACATGAATAATAACAGTATTTTCAACAAGCTTACTTGAAGATGCAAATAAAAGAGTCCCGAATTTGGGTGACAATTAGACAAGGGCAGAACCAATGCTTCCTAGTAAAGTGAGCCACGCAAAAATGAATTCTAGCTTTAGTGCTGGATCGCACAACCTCTTACAGTATAAAATGTGGTTGATCAATGCAGGCTTACTTACAATCTTCTAAGCATTCAACAGTCTTGTCACCAAAGAAATTACTCCAACACAAAGAGTCATTAAAACATCAGGTGTATTACTTAAAACCCAAGAAAAAGATCTTGAGAACAAAAGAGTAATGCACATAAATATTTTGCAGCATGAAATCAAGTGGCGCAGAACTATCACACATAATATATGGTAGTCAAAACACATTCCAATTTTTTTATAGAATTTCATAACATACTGTTTCTATCATGGTTAAAGCAATTTACCTCTTGACATCCGGATTCCATCATCACCCGGATAGATCTAGTAACAAGTTCTGTTGCTGCGGTGTCAAAATTTGTATAATAAGTTGCGGCATAACATATTCACCAAAAGATGGTAACGTAGACAACAAAAACAAACAGAAAATATCGTTAAGTAAGCAAGACTAGTGTCAGTTTCAAAGAATGAAGGATAACATCATCTGGTCATTCAACTTTACAAGATCCAAAGGAGAAAATCATCTGATTCCTCAAAGGTCAAATCATATGCATGCTTTATAGAACTTAAGATGAAATAGGAAACTGTATATTCAAGACACATTGGCTCCTAGGGTGACTAGCATGCTCCTACAATGCTTTTGGTATAACCCTATCACCATCTTCTTCCACAAGCACCTCTAAACATGCCAAGGCAACATTAGCTAGTATGATCCATATGGGCACCAGCCACAGCCAACAACATTATCTGATGCTAACTAACAGGCTGCCGCACCGATAAGCTTAGTGTAGTTACCAACAGGAACAGCAGGAAATATGCATGTCAAGCACCACAACAAAATGTCAGCACAGCAAACAGGCAGGCTAATGATGAATTTCTCTGAGGTTTAGCAGTGGTGACCCTGACAAATTGGCTTTTCATAGCCGATCAGTTCTTCAATCGCATGACGATACCAAGGAACCAAAACTGCACTACCAGATTTCTAACTAAATGACCAAGCATGCCAGTGATGCACTCGGGGAATGCACTTAATCATAATTTTCGATGGTGGAGATTATGTGGTTCGATCCTTCAAGTATGATGAGGTACATGGCAACGCTTTAGGAGTAGTCCGAATTGCAGCGGGATGGGTCAAAATGTCAATGATATTAGATATGAGTTCCTTGTTTGATCTAGGGGAAAGTGGCAGGCTCATATCTAGGCATCCTAGCTTTAGGAGAAGCCAAACAGGCTGAAAACTCTTGGGTGTTCGGCCAGGGCAAATATTGGGTTGACAGTAACATTATTTCAGGACCATTTGGTCTTATCAGACTACAGTGATGATATTTAGGCAATAGAAGTCTATATAAAAGGGGTTCTAAGACTACTAAATAACATCTTTAGAACTTGTCCTATATTTTCCAACAAATTATTTCAGCAATAAATCCATAACTTAAGTTAGATTAATCTCGAGATGGCTTCTTCTCTTCCTCAAACCAGAGAAGCGCAGTTTAGGATGTCTTAGGCTCTTAATTTCATTAATGATGCCTTCAAGCAATCTGATGCCATATCATAACATGAGAGTGCGTCCCCTTTCCATCACCAACCAAGAAACATATCAAAGTTTCTTAAAATCAATGTCTACGATTGGTTTTCGCTATACAGTAGCAGACACCAAACGAACAACCTAAATATATTCACCAGAGTTTGCACCTTTTTCATCTAAATCAGGCCATGATCAATAGCAAAACGTTACTAAACATCTGAAAAGTGTCAGTTTATGGTTGTTTTACCGATGCCCCTGCCCCTGTAGGGCTCGATGACGACCAGCATCCCGATGTATCCCCGTGAGATGTTCCGATGATGCCCCATCTTGCACACCACCGTCCCGACGCACTTCTCCCCGTGGAACGCCTGCATTTCGCCGTAAAACCAAAAATAAAAATCATCCCTAATTCGTCGCAAAAAACGGCGGAGAAACCCTAACGACAAGCAAAAGAAAGACAGATTTTCGCAAGTACGAGGAAGGTGAGGTTGGGCCAGAGGTAGACGAAGTAGCGGTAGGTGAAGATGGAGTAGGGCTCGCTGAGCTCGCGGTCGACGAGTCCCATGATGAGCGGCAGGTGGTGCTCACCACCATATCTCACGTACTCGATCTCCGACGGCGATAACTCCGTCATCGCCTCGTCTCCAAATATTCCTCTAATCTAATCGACCGTACTATATCGACCAATGATGAACCAGACCAAGCCCAAACCGGCCCGCAAGCCGACTCGGCCGCACTTAGCTCGAACCGGTTCGGATCAGATGAACCGGGTTTGGACAAAGACGGCATGAACTCGTAAAGAAGCACAACTTCTTATTCTACAGTTAAACGCATTGTGTATAAGTCGCACATCAGAATATTCAACGAGAAAATGTTTACAGCTAATACAACAACTTGCCTCTATTTTGCAGCATATCAATGTCGTCTTGCTTAACGTCTTGTCTTCGACCTTTGTGATGTGATTTATGGGTTCACCGTCACCCGTTCTCTTTGCCTGTGGTTATAATAACTAAGAATATAGAACACAAAGTCACCGACCACTTCCTTCAAGTATGCCTTAATAAGGGGCATGCATGTATGTCGACATATTGCATGCGTCAAGTGCGGGTCTCAATTAAGAAAAGACATTCTAACCATGTTATCATGTACAGTGCAGAACTGTGGAGTTGCAGAGGATATCTATCGACTTGTCCACAAGCAAAGATTAAGTAACTGTAGTTGAAACAAGACCCATGCCAACTTTCACAGTGCGAAGATGAGTCATGAGAGAGAGAGAGAGAGAGAGAGAGAAGTGACAGCATGCAAAGGGCCATCCCAAGGTGGGAGGAACAGGAAGGTGCATAGGAGTCCAATGGATGTGATCCTTCCATCTCCAGCGCATGGTTCCAAAGACCGGTGATAAGGTCAGAAGTATGGACCATCATAATTCAAGCTGCGTGCCCATGCTTCATGCATCTGTCATGTGTCCCGAGAGTCAAGAATCTGGTCAAAGTTTCTGAAACAAGACATGAAGCATGGCATAGCTGTTGATTTCGGGTGAATGATGTCATCTTGAAAACCATCTTGGTTAGATCATGCCAAACTTAGGCAAAGACAAAAAATAGCTCAACATTTGACTACAGAAAAGGAAGACAAGCTATTTATCTCACTTTCCCGAGCAACACATAGTCAAAACTTGTACGAGTCCAAAGATATCTTTGCTTGAAAAGATGTTCAATATCCAAGAAGTTACTTCCAAGAGGAGTTCGGCTGGGATGGAACTCTTTTTTGTCTCACAGGGGAGGAAGCCAAAAACCCATGCATGGGACTTGGTTTAGGCTACGTGTCTTCTGGGAAGAAGGAAAAGTGGAAGCATTGGATTCATATCAAACGTTTATAGTAGCCAAGAAATCAAGCGATGGAACCTCCGACACAACAAGAGGAAGAGAAGAGTGGGAAAAGACCAAATCAATGGTATAGTTTTGTGGCGGAAAGCATTCTCCGGACGCAAAGGAAACCCAACAAAAGCCGAAAGAAACAAAGACAGACACGGCACGAGGCAAGTTTGGCATTCAAAGCCAAACATATATAATGCATACATGTATATACTTTGGATAAAAGCAAAGTTGGTAAGGTGCCACAAGCATCCAAGTTTGTCATTTCCCTCTTCGTTTAGATTTGCTCCAAAGCTTTTTAGTTTACCCAGTCAAATGCCTGATGGAGATTTCTTGGGATGATTTATTCAAGCTGACATGTTAGAAACAAATGACACTTCCCAAACTTCTCTTCTTTGGATTTGATCTGATCCTGGTGAGCTTGGCCATCTTAGTGTTCTTCTACCTAAACATTAATCACCTGCGATCATGGCATGCATTTGACTGCTTTTTTCAGTCTCGCTCAAAGGTTAAATCTACCTGTAAACTCTGTGTTTCTATCTATACGTAGTCAAAGGCCTAAGAGATGTTAGTATAATACATAACAAGCCGAAATAGGACAACAGATATAAAGCCCTTACCCAATAGCAGAGGAACCTTACAAAGTAGGCTGTTCTTATCGCAATCTCCACCCATCCTTTCTTTGCTTCTCCTGCTTCTTCCTACTTCTTGTTATCGTCACCAGCATCACCACAACATATATCGTGAGATCTTTTGTTGTCCACTGGAATTTGTATGCGAGAGAGCGAAGGAAGAGAAAAGGAGGGTTAAGGGACCTTTAAGGTGGATCGACGGCATGGGAAAAGGCCCCTTCCTCCTGATGAGCCGGAGGAGAAGGAAGGACATCAGCACGTGTGGTCGCAGTACACCTCAGTGCGCTCCGACCAGGATGCGTCGGCCATGGTCTCTGCTCTCTCTCGCGTGATCAGCTCGAGCTCGTCGGTCATCGACGCCTCAGCCGGGGAGCCGACGGTGAACCAACAAGGGATTAAACTGGAGGGCGCTGATCCTGGGGAGAAACAAGCCATCCAGATCTCAGAAGAGCAAGGTATGAGCTTAGCATCCTGCACCAATTCCTCTCGATATTTATAGCCTTTCTAGGAGACTTTTGGTAATCAAAATTTAGGCGACTATCAAGATTCTCGGTTGTATCACGAGATCTCTCACAAATAGATTGATCGGAACACAAGATTTTAGTTGCAACACTTGTAATATCTAGAACAGAATAGAGTCATGTCTGTATATGATGGATAGATATATCATGTAGGTTTTAATTACTAAAATAACTGGTAATTTTTTGTCACTTCTTGAGAATTCCGTGGCATCCTCCATGGAGTCATTGTGATCTATGTTGGGCACTTACGCAGCTTTGGGTATATATAAGAATCTTCATCTTATATATTTTTCTTTTGCATGGGGATCGATGATTCTGATGCTCCATATTGACCTCCATACTTCCTTCTCTTTCATACGCGGTATAATGAAGGGACTGTGAGAAGACACTACAGGGGGGTGAGGCAAAGGCCATGGGGCAAATGGGCAGCAGAAATAAGGGATCCCAAGAAGGCTGCACGTGTGTGGCTGGGGACCTTCGACACCGCCGAGGACGCGGCCGTCGCTTACGATGAGGCAGCATTGAGGTTCAAAGGCAGCAAGGCCAAGCTCAACTTCCCCCAGCGAGTCCAAGGCCGGGCGGAGCTCAGCTTCCTCGCCAGCCCGGGGATCCCCAGAAGGCAACCACAGCCACCGACGCGGCCGCCGGCGTCTTCATATCCAGACTTGTTTCGATACGCTCAGCTCCTCCAGAGTGGAGACGACAACCTGCAGAGCGTAGCCTCGGGCCTCTACGTCGGAAGCGCCTTCACGTCGGCGCCCTCTCAGGCCCCGCCATCTTCTACGTCGGGATCTCTACCGCAGTTCTTGGGCTTCTCGTCTCACTCGCCGTACAGTTCTTCTTCTTCTTCTTCTGGTTCATGGGTTTATGGAGATCACAAGGATAAAGACAGCAGTCGACCTCCCTGACAATGACCAATCTTGTGTTTGAGGGATGGGACTTACTTGGAAATGCTGGTCTGTTTCATAGAAAGATAATACCTGTATTCATTGCTGATCCTTCTCTGATAACATATGGTGTGATACAAGTGGGAATGAAAGGGAGTTCGACCACAGTGTTTATGTTGGTTTGATTGGATCCTTTCACCATTTCTTTGTTGTGCCATAAATAAAGAATTCGATATAAAATAAAAGAAACGCCGTCTGTGGGAATCGAACCCACGACCACATGGTTAAAAGCCATGCGCTCTACCGGCTGAGCTAAGACGGCTTCATTAATAATTATTATGATATAATTCATTGTCGGATATAGGGGCCATATATCACAGACGAAGAAGCGTCTCTCTCCTCTGTCAATGTTCGGTCTCTCAGCCGTCGACTCCTAGAGCATATTTCTGGAGCAAAAGCCCACACTCTGGTAGGGGCGCCGCGTTGAGGAAGCCAAGGGAGTTGGCGTAGCGGACGCTGGTAGTCAGGCCGCTCTCGGCGCTGATGAGGACGCGAGCGCGATCCCTGCCGGTCATGATCTCGGAGCAGCCTGGGCGTGGGCTCTCCACCAGCACCACCTCGCAGATCTCCTCCTCGTGGTTGTCCTCCACCTCGAGCGTGTAGGTGCCGCTGGCGTCCGTCACGGCCGTGGCGGTCTGCTCCACAACACCAGTGTCGTATTGCCTGCACTCGAGTTTTACCTTGGCACCTGCACGTCAAAGCCATCATCTAATTACTACTCCCTTCAAATCCTTGGCGTCAGGAGACGAACATAACAATAACAGTAGCCCAGGCATGTATAGTTTCAGAGCATTCTCGTTGTATATGGGAGGTTACCTTCAATGTAGTCGGTGGCGCTGGTTTCGAAGCCAGCACGGCATTTGTCGCAGTAAACACGGCCTTGAATTCTGAAGGTTGGAAGAGCAAGGGCGACGCCGGCGAGGGCGAAGCAGAGAGCGGCAACGACAGGTAGAAGCTGGAGCTTGGCCATTGGTCTTTCCCCTCGCTCTCAACCAATGCGTGTAGAAACTTTACAGAGCCAGAAAGCAACGAGGAGAAAGAGCAAGGCAATGGATGCAGGAGAGTGGCCTGGCCTTTGATGGTGCATCCTGCGACCTATTTAAGGAGTAAGCTAGGCGTGATGGAGATTAGGAATGAAGAGGTTTAGTTGACCAAGTTTCGTGGTGTGCAACTGTTTCCTTGTTTCTTGTCCCGCCTCTGAAATATTAAGAAGACCGAGTCCTGAGGACAAGTGATGGATGAGTCGAGTCTTTTAACCTTTCTTGGAGATTTCTGAGGAATCGGATCTTATTAGAAGCCGTCTGTTGTTCGATGGAGAGCTATGGAATTCAAATCCACGTCCCATATAATGGGATTAAAAGCAGTCTCATCTCAATCTTGAATGGGTGTCTCAATCCAACAATAACTCGCTGCTAAATCTAAGAACCAGCTATGAATGAAAGTGATAGTATATGTGGAGATCAAATACTTCGGAGATGAACAGAACAACAATGTCGTAACTGCTGACACTATTGCAAGATCTTCAGATTTCATTGAGCTCATATTCACATCTCAAGAATAACTTCTCATTCTTATGCAGATAATTACGCTACAAAATTGATATTGGAAACAAAGGAACATCTCTTTCTTCCTCGGTTTTGTGATTTTTACATATTGAAGAACAGTTCCGATCTCTATCTCTCAAAGATGCCTTTGACATAAACCATTCCTTTCTCGCTTAGACGGAGATCTTTCCTCATCTGCTCCACTTGCTGGTCGTCTCCACGAACAACGATCTCCGAAATGCTTCCGTTATCACCAACTATCATCTTCACCTTGATCTCTTCCTTACGAGATGCCCGTTTCCAGTAATACAATCCCCTAAAACATCATTGCAACAGATTGTATCATTTTACATGTATTGCCCGCAAATACTATGGAACATTTGTTCACAAACTTACGCCAGTGGGCTTAGAATTGTTAGCCAAAACCAGTTATTGCCTCCTTCTGGAACTGCGATCGACAGGACAAGGCCAACGCTTGCTAGACTAATGCAGGTGCAGAAGGTCAGTAGTGCTGCTTGCCCTCTGCTTGGAACCATCATGCCTTCAAATCTTTTGAACAGTGCACTCGTTAGTTTTATAGATCAGCATCGCTCTATGGTATCAAAAGAACATAAATGCCACAAAACATCAGACAAAGAAAAGGAATTTACGATAGTTGGATTCCAAGCAAGACATATAATGTGGGTGATTCGACACCATCTTGATGGCTCTATGCCTAATTATCAACTAAATCTCTAATGTGCAAAGTAGAGAGAAAATCAAAAAGCCTCTTGTCATATGAAAATTTGCAGAAAATCCAAAGAAATCCAAGGAAGAAAAAAAAACTTAATTGTGCCATGTCACAGTTTCACCTTCTCTTTCTTTTCATTTATAAAAAGAGAAAAAAAAGGGTTTTGGTCATCAAAGCTCCTAATTAAGGCCCAAATTATCTACAAATTGCAGAGAGAATTGAACCTAACCAAAAGTTTATGGTTGCAGACAATAGAAACATGGAACAGCCGAGTTAAGCCGTATAATTTGTAGCCTCCCAAGATTGTCATCATCGAATCCTTTTCATTTCAAAAAGAAGAACAAAGATCTAAAAAAAGAGTCTCGGTCGCCACATAATAATAATGCTCTGCAATGTTTAAAAATTGCACACACCAACCCAAGTCACTCTAAAAGGTCACATAATTGCAAACCAACATAAAAATATCTGCAGTCCACATTGTTGTATCCGAAAACTATGGTTCCAAATTTCCAATCACTAACTACAAATTTGACATTGATCCGCCGTAGCTTCTTCATTAAGCATTTGAAGTACTTTGTTAGCTTCGACATCATTGTCAACAACAAGATGAATATTCTAAAAACTAACTGAACTTAACAGAGTATATAGCTTAAATAACCTGTCTGAATAATAGCTTACCAATTGACATCAAATCTTGAAACTGTTTTCCCTAACCAATTCAATTTTCTATATTAGTTTCATCATTTCTCACAATGACAAGATGAACATATGCTGTGGAGAATGTAATTGAGCTTCCGAGAGTAAATAGCTCGAATTTGTTTATCCTGACTAGTAATCACCAATTTGATAGCAGCCTTCTATAGTCACAGCCTGACTGTGTTGGATTCTGTGCTAGCTTGCTGATTTCTCACAATAGATGAATGTTCAATGCTCAAGACATAATCAAGCTTCAAAGGTACAAAATTTCCCAAAACAAAGAAGCGAGGTGGATTTACGTGATGGTTTCGCCGCGGTCGGAGACGGCGAAGTTGTTGCGAGTGAAGAAGGATAAGATCTCTCCAGCCACCTGGTTCGGGGTCACCGCCGCTCCCTCTTCCCTTACAAACGTCTTCTGCACTATCTGTTCTTGCAAATTCCCAAAAGCACCTTTAGGCCAAAATTTCCTAGAATTATGAAACTAATTCCAAGATCTACCATGGAAAAAATCCAGACTTTGAGTCAAAAGTTCAAGGATGATCGACGAAAATCCAAGAATGAGGCGTTAGTCGAGGGAAGAAGGGACCTTGGACTTGACGGAGCGTTTGATGAGGGACCAGAGACCAGGAACCGAGATCACGAACAGCCCCAGCGACGTGTAGTAGCTCGCCTGGGAGTACCCCACGTCGCCCGCCGCCGACGAGACGTCGAGGAGGAACAGCGGGTCAGGGAGGAGCGATAGGCGAGCCACCGCCGCCAAGGCCCCCCGCCCCTGCCGCCGCGGCCGGCGGGGTCCCACCGGAACGCCCAGACATCTACATCGGCGCGGCTCGGTCCGGCGAGGAGGGGCCGGGAGAAGAGACGAAGGGAGGAAAGGCTTGGCTGCTGCCATTGCCACCGCTACCGGTACTGCCAATGGATAGAGAAATCGATAGCGGTAAAATAGAGGAATAATGGAGGTTCTTTCAATTAAGCCCCTCGTTCGGAATTCTTATTTCATAAGCGTCCTTCACGGACGAGCATATGAACGGGAGAAGGGCACGTCGCAGAGGACTTCTCCTGTAGAAATATTTTGCGTATTACACCTTAATATGTCGAGAAATTAATAGGCCTTTTTAGACCTATGTGCGGGTGAAGTCTGGCTCGGACTAAATCGAGTTCGGGTCGAGTCAAAGGCTGAAATCCGAGCGTGTAATAGAGACTAACATGGCAGCCAAGCTTCCACGTTTCCTTATTGCTGGACGCAGGTCGTCCCCGAAAAGAGAGAGACGCCAATGGGAAGCTGACAACGACGCCAATGACCCACACCAACCTTTTCGCTCCTCTCTTATCTCTTCGCCTCTTCTAACGAGAGACCGAGAACGGAAGCGGAGCAGATAGCGAAGAGGGAAAGAGAGAAGGATATGGCGCTTCAAGCACCGGCGGGACTGAGCTCCACCGTCGCGCCCTCTCGGACGAGCATTCCACCGCCACTGTTGTCGTCACCTCCCAGCCACGCAGGCCTGCGCGGCCCTTCAGACCGCTACGCCCTCCGCTCCGCATTCTTCTCTCCCTCCTTACGACTCCTGCTGTCGGCGCCGAGCCGAGGCTCCACCGCGGCGCCGCGGTTCTCCATGCGCGTGGTGTCCAAGCAGGCCTACATCTGCCGCGACTGCGGGTTTCTCTTCCTTCTCCATGATTCCCTGCTGTGACTCGACCCTCATCGACCCCGCTCACTGTGTTTTCCTTGATACTGTACTTGCAGCTATATCTACAACGATAGGACTCCATTTGAGAAGCTGGCTGACAAGTATTTCTGCCCCGGTGCGGTCAATCTCCTTGAGCTCGAATCTAATAACAACTCTCTGTTCCTTCCAAGTTTATTTGGACATGAAAAAGCTGATTCAAGGAAATTTCTATTCCTTGCAGTTTGTGGTGCTCCTAAAAGGAGATTCAGGGCTTACGAACCAGCAGTAGCCAAGAACGCTAATGACATCGACGTCCGTAAGGCAAGGAAGGCACAGATCAAAAAAGATGAAGCCATCGGGTAACTCCTACGATCGTAAACTGATCCCACTGAACATAATTAGATGGGTGAGATTGGTTGCTCAGATGCATTCATGTGTTCTGCAGGCGAGCATTACCTGTCGCTATAGCGCTCGGAGTTGCAGGGTTGGCTGGCCTTTATTTCTACCTCAACAATGTCTACTAGTCTGTTCAAACACAAGCATGGCTTGGGCAAGAAGCAATACACTGCATAACTTTCAAACCTCTTTTTCTTGGTTCAATCGAAGGTTCCTATGTTTCTGTAACTATAAGAATTCTGCTTCCAGTGTCAGATTTTGTTTGTCAAACAGTGAGATAAGTAAACGCCAGTTCTCAAAACCATTCAGATACAACCATAAACGAGTACATTATCGCATCAAATTAGAAGGTAGCCACAACTTTATTTCGACAATTTTCAGACTACTTGCAGCATTCTGGAAACAATGATATGAAGCCACATTATTTGATGATGTGGTAAGGAGCTCTCCAACATTTTGGTTCCATCCAGTGATATAGCAAAAAAGATGCCTTCCCCTGGAATTATAGATGGGCATCATACTTCATCCTTTTGAACATGAAATGGTAGATACATGTAGCGGTCACTGTAGTTAAAAAGAAGCTCGATATTAGATGTAACATCAAGATTTAACAGCAACATGCTGTAAAAAGACAGAAGCTCTGAGATAAACAGACACAACTTGTTTTAACCTGAAAAAGAGCCACTTAAAACTTGCTTACGAGCATAAAAATTGTGGAAATGAGCTGAATCAAACAGATGGTAACAAGGACCAAAAGAACTTTTGTTCCACTCCTTACTAGTTCAGTAGCATAAATGTACAATGCACGAAGAAGCTACTTGAGTTCATGAGTTCAACTTCAACCAGTTTGGAATAAGGCAGATCCATCCCCATTTAGATTGGTACAAAAATAATGGAGATGCATGATTATATACATCCTTGCTTTAGAAGAATAGTGACCACATAAGCTGGAGATGGATCAAAAATCAACAGCTGTAACAACAGCAAGATGAAGTATGATTGTGTATATGTATCTATGTATGTCTAAGACAGATTAGAAATCAGTTTATGTCTGCAAAATTTCAGTTGCCATCTAATCCTCGCACAAAAATGTTGCAAGTGACAGAAAGATTTCATAGCAGCTTTTTGGGTGTCTAAGGGAAGGAAATTGCAGAGAGAAATGCTCAAAGATCCTTATCCCTTCGGTTCACAGTCGATGAACATATCCTTGAACATTAGGAATATATAGTTGAAGAAAAATTCTCATTGCTTACATAATGCAAATAAATGATGTCATCTAATCGGCTGATCTATTTGTTTCAAGTTCATGGATCGCTCTTCATACTCTTCATGTGTAGTGACTTTTGATATGCAGAGGAATATCGAGTACAGATGCAAATACCACAATTGTATTCTAATACTTCTATATCATCACTGAGGAAAGACTTGTTTCCATAAACATTTTTCTAGTTGATGTTTCTTATCATTTCTATCCAAAAACTACAGAGTATGAATGTATTTATGTTTCTTAACATCTTCATTCAAATTTGCAGCATAAAAGGGTTCAGGGAAACTAAAGAGACAGCATTACGAGTCTGTCGTGCATTGCATATATATCACAAACAATAGCAAGGCAAATGAGAAAGAGGCGGTCATCTTATTGAAATGGATCTTTCCTTGAGGTAGGACTAAAGTTACTGACTTACTAGCACATAGCATCGTTACATATCATACTGGGATAGTCCTTTCAGCGATCTTGCAAGCATTTGGCTCGGACCAGATTGGTACTCTCGGTCTTCTTCCTCGTCTTTGTCAAAGCAGTAAGCAGGGGCTTGCCATTTTGCGTCCTCGAGTGCTGCTCCCACTTCAAATGTCATCACATGAACAGATCTCCCTGCAGCTCATCACACAATAATATACATCAAAATACTTGCAATAAAACAGTATATTTACGCAGAGACTCAAAGTCCATGACTCCAAAAGCAATTAAAAATTAGGAAATAGCAAAATCGTAAGTACTTAAACATACATCTAAGAATTCAGAAAAAAGAGACTCTTACACGAATACGAATTCCAAAGCATCCAATCAACTTCACAGAGGCATTCAAGGGGAAAGAAAAAGAAAGATTTTGTATGAAAAAAATTGTATCAGAGATCAGAAAAACCATGAAATCAAAATTTTCGGCGCCTCCAAAGATACGATTTTGGATATCGTGTGACAAAAGTATTGGATTTTTTCAGTTTCCGAAGCACGAATCCAGTGGTTGAGGATTTTCATCGAACAGGTAATGCACACTCATCGAACCGACCGGTGTAGAACAGCCAATGCACAGGCCGCCTGGTTTCGACGTCCTCATAATACCAAATGAACTGAGCCTTTTCCCACACATCACAGATAAAGCCGTCAACGGCCTCCCTGCCGAGGTAGGTAGCGCCGTCGAGCCAGTCCGGGCGGAGTATCCCGACGTCGAAGTCGACGGTGCGGCAGCGGCAATTGCCGTCGAGGGTGTAGTAGAAGGAGGTGCCATTTCCCCACTCGAGGTCGTACAGCAGCTCGCCCAGCTGGTGCTGGATGATGTTGAAGTTGCGGGAGTTGGGCCAGTCGTACCAGAGGTCGACGAACGAGAGGGCGCCGCTATAATTGATGTAGAGGAGGGAGTGGAACTGCGGCGGCCATGGCGTCGGGGTAGGAGACGCGCCCTCTCCGGTCCTTCCTGCTGCTGGTATTGTCGTGGTCGGTGGCGAAGAACCAGTGGAGGAGATGGGAAATAACAGGATGAAGGAAGCAATGAGTAGCACGTGAGAGTCGGGAGGTGTCATCGAGCGCTGCTCCCAACAATCGCTGCCAACAAAACAACATATATTGATATCCGTCTTCCCGGACACGTGTCAATAGCAAGAGCTTCTTGATATTCTATTATTTCAATATTAAATCTTTATATAGTGTATTATTTATGTTCAACTAATTGGATCGAATCGTACCCGAAGAAGCAATAATTAATGCGAGTATTAACTTAGGCATAATTGTTATAGGTTAATCAAAACTAAACAGATAATTGATAATCATATAACACTATATATATTTCGTAATTTCATATATATAATAAGTTGTCATAAGCGCAACCAATCTTCATATACTGGTCATCATATTTGTTAATGATTTTTTACGCCATGACCGAGATGTCAGTATGGCTCAGTCCAATCCTGAATGCGTAAGATTGTTCACTCGGAAGTTCGAGTGGTTGAAGCGAGTGTCGGGTCGAGTTGAGACTCCTCTCTCGAATGCGATCTTCTCTCTTGACGAGTTGTCTTTTTCTTTGTCATTAGGCTTTTATACACAGGCCAAGGTCGGGAGAGAGATTTCTCGACTCAATCTCTCCGAAGTTTAAGTTAGTATTATGTGGAAAAAGAAGTTTAAGAGAGATTTCTCAACTTAACCTCTCTTGATACTGGTCAAGAGATAGACTTTTATATTTATGAACGAAGATCAGTTGTACGTGATCGCTTAATAGTGACAGATTTATCGGGTGGTCGACTTGTACCTCCCATGCAAGTGTCGCCCAACCTGCATGGATCTACTTTGCGTGGTGCCGTTCCAAACTTTTCAGAGTGATTTTATGCTAGACGACATCGTCTCATACGACCTTGGACAGCACGAGATAGGCGACTATCTCACCCAAGTCCAAGGTGTCATGTCGACGTGATGTACTATATCAGTCTTGAGTTTCCATGTTAATGCTAACGTGGTTGTTGATTGTTACCGCGCGGGTGGCACCAGAATATGCTCTATTAATATTTATTATTATCATTCCATAAAAAGTACCTTCGGATTACTCGCCGCTACGTTCCCGGTTGCCAATATACGTCATTCATTAATCTGCCATTTCCTTGTGATCAGATAGAATTAATGGCTCACAAAATCCTTGGTTGAGCCATTGCTGCTAATTGGGTAGTTGGCCACTAGTCCGGTGGTTTTCTCTCATATTAGGAAGTTCGGTGGTCACAAATGCAACATTCGAGACGCCCAAATACTCTTTTCTCCTTCAGTTTATTTATTTTTTCATATTAATTTTAGGATGATTTATCTGAAAATTTTATTTTTGAGCTTTTCTGGATAATATTTTTATTTTTTTTATTTTTCTATTTGATGGATCTATTTTTATCTAATATCCTAAACGTTTATTGACACCTCTCTTTATCTTGATGATCATGATGAGATGAAAACGATGAAATTTTATCGTGATTTATGATAATTCTTTTGTTCATATGAATTTTATTGAAGAGGTTGATGCTTGTGATTAGTCTCATGTAACGAAGTCGTTGAAGAGTTGACTATATAGCGAAGAAGCATTTTTCCTTGTCCTATTAATGGGAGCACGTGCATGCTATCTCACCTTATCGTCGTCCGACTCGAGTCGTAGTAGTTGTAATGGGCGTGCATTAAATCTATTTTATTTCACGGCGCAATTTACTTGGCCAGAATACGACTTACGTAAACGTCTCTCCCACCGCCGTAACGGCGTCCACCGTTACTTTTTGAGTGCAAACTTTACGTGAAAGTTATACGGAAAATATATATTTGGTTCAAATACACGTACCGAGGTTTCGCCACCCAGAGACTTCCTCGTCCTTCGTGGCTCTCTTGTAGGCTTGAACTATGGGACCCACATAGAAAAGTACACTGATGAAGTAGGACAACAACGTGTCTGAGGAAACGGAGTTTATTAAGCACCATAGAACGTAACACTAGATAACGTTTTCTCCCACGCCTTCAGCACGATAAATAGTAGGGTTTGATGTTGTAGTTACAGACAACTTCATAGCCAAATAAATCCACACCGACGGATATCAATAGCAGTAGCCACACAACCAGTTACAGGGAGATTCACGTGATGGAAGGAAAAGCTTGCGTCAGTGAGCAGCGATGGGGATGCTGTGCAAGACCACGGTCTCCACCGTGAGCCCGGGACCGAACCCGAAGAGGACGCCCCACTCAAGCCCCTCGCCGGTGGTCGCCTTCCCGTCCTCGGCCGACCGCTTCCTCATCTCGTCCAGGATGAACAGCACGCAGGCGCTCGACATGTTCCCGTACTCTTTCAGCACCTCCCGCGTTGCCTTCATCTTTTCCTTCTCCAAGCCGAGCTTGGCCTCCACCTGGTCGAGGATCGCCGGCCCGCCGGGGTGCGCGATCCAGAATATGGAGTTCCAGTCGCTGATCCCCAGCGGCTTGAACGCCTCCGCCAGGCTCCGCTCGATGTTCTTGGAGATGAGGCCCGGCACGTCCTTGAGCAGATGGAAGGTGAGGCCGACCTCCCGCAGGTGGCCGTCGATGGCGCCCTCGGAGTCGGGGAGGATGGTCTGGCTGGCGGAGACGAGCTGGAAAATCGGCTTCTCTGTGGCGGGGTCGGGGTCAGCGCCGACGATGATGGCCGCGGCGCCGTCGCCGAACAGGGCCTGCCCGACAAGGCTGTCGAGGTGGGACTCCGAGGGCCCGCGGAAGGTGACAGCGGTGATCTCGGAGCAGACCACGAGCACCCGGGCGCCGCGGTTATTCTCGGCCAGGTCCTTGGCCATGCGGAGCACCGTGCCGCCCGCGAAGCAGCCCTGCTGGTACATCATGAACCGGTTGACGGAGGGTCGGAGGCCAAGCAGTTTGGTAAGCTGGTAGTCAGCGCCAGGCATGTCGACGCCGCTGGTGGTGCAGAAGACGAGATGGGTGATCTTGGACTTGGGCTGCCCCCATTCCTTGATGGCCTTGACAGCCGCCTCCTTGCCTAGCTTCGGCACCTCCACCACCACGATGTCCTGCCGAGCGTCCAGCGACGGCGCCATGTACGCGCAGACGTTAGGGTTCTCCTTCAGGATCTCCTCGTTGATGTGCATGTAACGTTTGCGGATCATCGACTTGTCACCTGAACAAGCATGCAGTACAGGGATCACAACTCCACAACCAAGACTTCATCTTTGGATCACACACTTGTCCCTTGAACCAGCATGTAGTGCAAAGATCACGATTACACAACTACAACATCGTCTTTTTTATTAACTATGTCATGTGAATTCACGTATCATGTGCATGTTTTATACTTTTTATTTATTGAACCAGTTGTGATCATCGCAGGAACAACTAAACCAGTCAGAGGAGACCTTTTCTTTTTCGTCTCTCTGCTAACATAGATAAAGGCGGAGGTCCCATTTATTTGTTAGAGAAGAAGGAACCTAAAGAAATGAATGGCACTTTAGATTAAAGAAACGGCACGTACACATTCTCTTGAACTTTTCCTTGAGTTCAGTGAGGTGCTCGCTCTTGGTGATGCGGAAGTAGTAGTCTGGGTAGTCGGCCTGGTACAAGACGTTGACAGGGGTGGCGGTGCCGATGGCGAGCACCGTCGCCGAACCCTCTGCCCTCTGCGATTGCCTGATCTCTGCCAACTTGGCCATGAGCTAGAAGTGGGTGTAGGACCAAGTACTAGGTCGATCGAAGAGTTGATGGTTCGGTCCGGAGATGAGGAGGCAGAGGGGGTGGAGGCGGGAGATATATAGCGGTGGCTGGTTAGGTTGAACGGACGGACAGATGTGAAGCCACGAGGAGCAGAGAAGGTTTGGTGGGAGGCTAGGCACAGTGAACGCCACGCGGGTCACCAGCTTCCTCCTCCCGTCAGCTAAAAACTTAACCTGTAAACTCCGACTCCATGCATTTATTCATCTCTCATCTGCCGCGCGCACACCTCGTGGCCTTCTGGTTGTCGCAGACCACAAGGCGATCGAGCGTCCCGTCAACGGGTAGAGGAAGAGCCCCTCTTTGTCTGATCTTGGAAGATGCACTTCGCCGTGAAGGGTCGGATCGAGACTCGAGAAGCAGTGACACCGCGCAAGGGGAAGGCACTTCGCCTCCCGTCCACCGGTGTGCGTCGCGTCCGTCGTTCGTACGTAAAATCGCTGCTTAAGTGGGCCCTGAAATAAATCCTCCGCGTCTACTTTGTCAAATGACGTCGACAAAGACTACTTGGTTAGTCCGCCATGGACACCAAAAGACCCATGAATACCCAAGGCCGCAGAATCCATGACGTTGGACGTGTCAGGTGGTTGCCACCTGCTTCTGTTGATGTATACGGGAGACTCGACAGGGGCCACAACTTTAGCTACAACCAACGAGAAACGTGGGAAACTACCTAATTAACGATAACAACTGGTCCTCCGTAGCTAATTTTTTGCTACCTACCTTTTATTTCATCACAAATTGGTGTCGCATTCGTTCATAAATAATAATATAAATTGGATTACTGTTCAGCCACTGTTTGTGTACTGAATTTTTGTTTTAATTTCAAGAGATTTGGTTGGAACCATTTTAATTGTTTGTGTGAAAAGTATTGTTTTTTGTCGAACATTATACATTATTGAATTTTTTGAAATGAGAAAAAAATATTAAATAAAAATTACAACGTGATACAATCATCATAATTTAAACATAAAACATATATTTTTTTGAAATTACTAGTATTTTTCATTCAACTTTAAAAGACATTACAAAATTGAGATGAATTTTGCTTTAGAGCAAAAAAGATGCTTTTAATATACGCAACCTTCACAACGAGCCGACACAGGCTGGAGTGCGCGGCCCAACGTAATACCCCAAAGCGCGTCACAGGCCGCTGGCTCGTGCAGGGCACGTGTCAAGCTGCGCTGCGATCCGGGGAAGAGCGCTCATGTTTTCCATACTGTTGATGAAGTCCTATTAACGTGTGTGATCGTTCGTAGCCCGATCCTACGGCTGAAATGCGTTTATGTTCCCTATAAATTCCGTTCAATTTCGGGGTTTCGATATCCG